CTGGAGGGGGGCAGAGGGAGGGGTTAGTGGAGCAGCAGCTGACTAGGACAGTCTCTCTCCTGGTTTGAATCTCCACTTTATTTAATAAATTTAACTATCAAAAGATTTTGTTCCAATTTAACAATATGTAGCAAAAAAATGAAATCATGTAAGAATTGTAAATACAAATTCATGATGCTTGTTGCTCAAGCAGAGGCATAAGATCAGAGGGGCTTATGGAAAACATTAATCCTATCTAAAATGTTTTATTTCATTTTTAAAAAGAACAAAACACAGTAAAATGCTAATGTTTGAAAGATTTGTGTGCATCTAAGTGTTTGCTGAATCCTCTTTTGAAGATCTAAATACTACAATCAAAAAAAGAAAAAGAATAAATGGAATTTGTCAGGAAAATCAGTAGGGAATATATTCTAGGAATAGAGCAACAAGTGCTAAGCACAAAAGCAGAGACTAGCTTGGCTCCGTAGGGGATTTGCATATGATTTGAATTTGAGGAGGGGTTGAGTGGAATCAACCTGGAGAAACAGGCAGGAGGCAGTATTGCTGGAGAGTGAGGAGTGAAGAATTTCTCATATTAACAAAATTCGATTTTAATGAGGGGACATTGAGGAGTTGTTGGAGGGCTTTAAGCAGATGACCTTGGGGTAAGTCCATTCTGGCCAAGTGGGGAGAGTATTAGGTAGATGTGGGACAACAGCTGAGGAATAATTTTAAATTATCTGCTACAAATTTTAAATTTGCTACAAAATACAGTAGCAAATGCCAAAGATAATTACATATTTATTTATTTATTTATTGTGCAGGGGAAAAATCTGCTCTTATTGAAGAAATTCTATCTCAGAAATAAGAGGGTATTGTCATTATTACTGCATTGAATCCTTTGAATCCTTTGGGTACTTATTATAAATGAATTTTTACTGTTTTTTAATCCGACATGGGTGGAAATTGATGCTGTTTTCATAGATAAAGAAGACCATGCAATGATAGTGGGAAAGTCTACCCTCTCCAAGGGTCTTATTACATTATTCCAGTGTCTGGAGCCACCGTTCAGAAATCATGCCAATACAGCAGAAAAAGAAAAGTTAAGTCTAGAAAATAGAAGTTTTTGTGGTGAGAATACTGGTAGAATAATATATGTAATTAAAAAGGCACAGAAATGTGGATAAGAAACATTGTGTCAGTAAATCTAGAGACAGTAAACATACCAAAGTTATTACAAGAATTCCTTGATGTCACTATCCATGGAAAGCAGACATACTGTGATAAGTTAGATACTTTTAGACACCTGTACAATCACCTTAACACAAACTAAAGGACTCCCAACTAAAGAAGAAACCCCTGCCATTCTTATTTTAATGCAATTTCTTTCACATCATATTTTAGGTGATTTGAAGCTGATTCTTTGGTATACCTCTACGTTTCCCGTGTCAGAATATTTACATTCTAGCATTAGGAGCTTGGTAAAACAGTGCAGGAGGAAAACTGCCTTTGGACCTCTCTCCCTAAGACACACCCGGCACATCCAGAACCTAACCCAAATGCCCACACAATAGAAAACCAGCTTATTCTTTGGATGTCAGTTTGTCTCCAGTCCTTTATAGCTCCATGCTGCCTTTAGAATATTTACCCACGTTTGAAGATATACTTTTATAACATGATTATCTGACCAAACTCTCCTCCCCTACTAGTGTGTTAATTCCATTAGACCAATTTACCTTTATTTATTATTTATTTTTTTATATATTTTTATACCATTGTTCATTTTTAAACAATGTTTGCTTCCCCAACCCCTCAGGTGTAGTCCCCATAGAGTTTCCTTCACCAATGCACCCGTGCACCATCACCACAGCCCCCTGTGCTCCTCCCTCTCTCCCTCTGAGACCAATTTACCATTGTATTCTCATTGTCTGCAATAGGGTTTGAAAATATGACAGTTTTAAAATAAATGAATGTATAATACTTTGAAAAAACTATATACATTTATTATATTTATGTGCTTGAGCAAGTCACTTCATATTAATTTGCTTGTTCACCTGTAATAGGAAAGAGATAATATCTACTTATGGAACGATTGTAAGAATTAGATATATATGTGACCACAGTTTTTTTCTATCAACAAAAATAACAGTTTCAAGTCAAAATACACAAGAGAAAATGAGAGGCTATATTGGAAACATAATTCACGTGTAAAGAATGAATATACCAAATATACGAAGATCTTTTGAAATTAAAGTGGGGAAAATAACACAAAAAAATACCAAAACGTATGACTAGATAATTCAGATAAACGTAAAAAGTGGTCTTTAAACTTATGAAAAGATACTCAACTTCAAGTCCCACCACAGACCTACTCAAGCCTTTGAACAAGACCCCCAGGTGATTCAATGTACATTACTGGTTTAAGTAAAGGACTACAGGACCTGTATATGACAAGCAAATCCCCTAAAATGACAAAGGCCAAGTGTCACTCTGTTAGGATTCATGCAGAGGTGTTCAAAGCCTGACGAAAAGCTAGGTTGGTTTTACAAATATGCCCGAATATTATTAGCAAATGGTCAGCACTGGGCTGGAGTGGTCTGGCGCCCTTGAAGAGAGTGCCCCCGTGTGGAGTAGAGAGGAAATGTCCAATTCTCTCTCCAGCACCTGCGTTCTTCTGCCGACGCCTCTTCTCAGGAGGGCTACCTTTTCCGAGGTGGCGTCTCCTCATCTGAAGCCACTAGTGTCCCCCGGAGCGCGAAGACCGGCCGTCGGCTGGGTAGCTGATGCCCTGTGTCACGCAGGGGACACGCGCAGACAGCTCAACGGTAAAAAAAAATGTCCCTGGTGAACCACCTATACCCTTGCTAAGACATAAAGCTAGAAAAAGGTTTTGATATTGAAAGCTTGCATTGAAAACCTTTCTGTCCCTCACCTTAGATCGGGACGCTTCTATGCATCCAACTTGTGAGAAAAAAAAAAAAAAACAGGTTCTTTCGTATTCTTTCTGTTCTCCGTTTTCCCTCCATTTATATTTCTTTCTCCTAAATTAGCATATTATGATGCTTTTTTTAAAGATTTATTTATTTATTTATTTATACAAGAACCGGGGTACAGTCAGAGATGTGGGGGGGGGGTTGAGAGAATTCACCAGACAGAGCGGGGAACAGAACCGGCAGACTGACTGAAATACACTGCTGAGGGGAGCAGCGGGCGGCAGGAGAGGTCTGTCGCACCATAAGGGACCCTCGCAGGCGGCCGGGATCGAACCTGCGTTGCAGAGGCTGCGGGCAGCTTCACAGCGTGGCGCTCAACCGCCTGCGCCACCAGGGGAGGCCCGAGGTGGGTTTGTTTTTGTTTTTGTTTTTGTTTTTTTAGTTTTTTGTACATTCTAAGTCGAATGCGCCCGGAGAAGAATCTATCCGACACCATCTTTTGGGACAATAAATAGTATTTATAAGTTGTGTATTAATTGAAGGGAACGCGTCAACGCTTTTTTTGTAAATCCCACGCTGAAACTCAGAATTTCAAAGTTTCTGGGCCCCTCTGTGTCCCCATGATGATGAAGGGATGGTCACAGGTGATCACAACGATTAGGGACCCCAGGTGTCAGGCTGCTTTCATTTATATAATAATAACAAGCCGCGTTTTCTGCTGCAGCTGCTGCTGCAGCTTGCGCGCTGTTTCCTTCCTCGACGATACCCGAACCTGGCCTGGAGGCGCGCACGGGCGGTGGGGGATGAAAGCGGCCGCGTTCCCGCCCCTCTGAGGGCCGGCGGAGCAGGTGTCGGGCCGGAGGCGGCGCAGCGCGGCCGGGAGGGGGCGGCCGGGCCGGGAGGGGCGGGGGGCGCGGTCGGGCGGGGGCGGGCGGGGCTGTAACGCGAGCGGCGCGGGCCCTCGACGGCGCCTCCCGGGAGAGCGCGCGGGCAGCCAGCGGCGCGGCGTGCAGGCGGCAGCGGCTCGAGAGCGCGGCGGGGCGGCTGCTCCGCCCAGGGCAGCCCCGGCAGCGCGGCGGGTGAGTGCGGGCGGGTGAGTGCGGGCGGGCGGGCGGCCGCGGGGTCCGGCGCTGAGGAGGCCCCCGGGGCGCGGGGTCCGGGAACGCGGTCTGGGGCTCCGGCTGTCGCCGCCTCTCCGGGCGCTCCTGCTCGGCTGTGCGCGCGGGCGCGGCCTCTACTTTCCTGAAACTGACGTAACAAACTGGACCCACACCTCGCCCGTCTCTAAACCCTGACAGGAAAAAGCCTCACAAAGTGTTTTCTTAGCAAACTTCCGCGGAATCCTGCACCCTCTGGCGCCACAGCACCGGATTTACTCGGAATCCTGCACCCTCTGGCGCCATAGCTCCGGATTTACTCGACGTTTGTTCTGTACTGGACGTTCGTCTCCCCTGGGTGCTCACCCACCCTTTTCCGTTTACAACCCCGTGTTCATACCTTCTGGGGCACCCAAAGGACTCCCGACCTAGCCCCCTTGGGCCGGTAGCAAGACGCCTTAGCACAGGCCTGTTTGTATCCCACTAGAGGGTATGTTGGTTTAAAAAAAAAAAAAATACACCTCTATTTCCTTTGTCGTCTCCCGGGAGAGCAGGAGCGGCCCGCATTTCTGCCCCGGTGGTCTTATCCACCCCGGGTTCCCCGGGTAGGGGTCGGGAGGGGGCCGCGCACCTCAGCACCCAGCCAGTCTTGGTCCTGGCGTCTCGGGCTTGTGTGTTGAAGAGCGGTTGTGAAGAGCCTTCCTGCCCCAATGCTTGGTCTGTGACCTTCTGTCTAAACTTTACCCCTTTCTTTCCTCCTCACGTTGGCGGGCCCTCTACCATAGTAGCGATTCTGAGAGTCGGATGCTTCTAAAAGCTTCTGGATGCGTGTTTATTTGGTAATAGGTCTAGTTCATTTAATTGCTCAGGAAGTCTATGTTCTTGTATTGACTGTCCCTTGCTGAGTGCACTCTCTGGCCAGGCCTGGCAGAGGAAGCTTGCTAGTTTTTCTTACTGACGATCAAGCCCACCAACGTGGAAAAAACTGCAAGGGTCTGCTAGCCGTGGAGGAGATTGGTGGGCCGCGAGGCGCGGGAGTCTTTTCCAGACTGGGGTGAGCATTGAGTCTAGAATTTTTGAAACATGAATGGAAATCCTTATCACAACAAAATGGCAGTGGAGGGAGGGCAGAGAGGGACTGAGATTCAGCTTTATATCTGAAATTTAGGCTCAATATGCATTAGATATATATGCATAAGCTAAGGTAAACTTGGAAATGGAGGGAGCTTTGAAACACGCAAAAGAGTAAACCTTTTCGAAATTACATAATCATTTTTACCAGGCCGTCCTAATTACTGTAGTATTTCTTTACATCAGAAGACTTTCAAGCAAGGGAAGGCTGGAGAAAGAAATCCAAACTAATTTGCATTTGAAAGAAACTTAGGGTGAAAATTCTAGGAAAGGTTGCTATGGTTGATATCTTAAGTGCACTGTTGGAAAGCTTTCTAGTCTATTAGGTAACACCTGAAGCCCCAATTACATAGCGTTTCTTTTTTTCCTCCCTTTAACTACTGTGAAACTAGACAGAGTTACAAGTTCCTCATTAATTTATGACTGATACCAAAAGAATTGACTCAATCCAGCAAGTATTTGAGTGTCTTCCCTGAATGCTGCTTTTCTAAGTTTTCAGGAATTTCACACACACACCAATTTTTGTAGCCATGCTAAATGTAGGGATAAGTTAAGCTTAAAATTTGAACTTGCCCACTCTATGTCCCTCTTACACACACTAGGAGTTCACCTTTGGGGAGGAGATATGTATTTATTTACAATTTATATTAGGTAATGTACATACTCCATGTAAACCACTGTGATAGTTGTAATTGTGTCTTGGGAGAGGAATGAATAGTCAGCATTAAAGTATTTTGGACATAATTTCTTTCAAATAACAAACCAGCAACTGCCAAATTAACTTCCCTTTCTTCTGTTTTTAGGGCTGAGGAGTGAGCTCTCCCTTCTCTATCTCTCAGCCCCTCTGATCAAAGTTTCACTGATCTGCACTAGCAGGGGACCCATCCCTTGCTGGGTGTGCTGCAAGTTGAATCTGGGTAAGTAGAGGGGCCCCTGGAACTAGTAAGATGGGTCATAGGTAGTGATGGATTACATTTGGACCACTGGATTCCTTAACATTTCCAGATGCATAAATCACATACCACTATTTGGAAGAGTAAGATGCTAGAACCGTCACAGCTTACTTCTTTCTTTTAACTTGGAGCAAGACCACCCTGCCTGATCTTTAGATGTGAGCCAACTTTGACTTACCTTATTACTGAGTCACAACTAGGTGTGTGGTCACAACCCTAGTGTGTCACTGGTAGATATTATTGGGTGAATAAATTAACAGAGATGGTAGTTTTGACCTCAGCACTGCCATTAACTAGGTATATGATATTGGACAAGAAACAAACTAGTTAAGTTCTTTGGACCTTAATTTTTCTATGTATACAATGAGGATGTCATATGGGATCAGTGATTCTTAACTTCTTGTAGTTCCATGCATTTCACTCACCCGAAGAGCATTTAAAAGACAAAACATAACACTGGGTCAGAGATTTTCATTAATCAGACTGGGGCAGGCAAGCATCTTCTAATTTTTGAAAGCCTGCCCATGTACACCCTACAAACATTAATGTCCAGCCAAATTTGAAAATCAGTGGGTTAATTAATCACTGAGAACTCTAAGATTGTATCACCTAAAGATAGACGACAGATCCAAACATCCCGTTCATACACAGCCTGACTCAGGATTACATATACCCGATAGTAACCAAGTTAAGCATACCTAAGAAACAGTCCAAATCAAGCACTGTCAGCTTATTCAGAGCAAGTGCTACTCCTTCTCACCATTTTAGTATTCTCACAATGTTGGTTTTTTTTTTTAAGATTTATTTATTTATTCATTTATACAAGCACTGGGTACAGTCAGAAGCGTGGGAGGGTGAGAGAATTCACCAGAGTCAGAGAGGAGAGCAGAGCAGGCAGAAGGACCGAAGTACACTGCTGAGGGGAGCAGCGGGCGGCAGGAGAGGTCTGCGCACCATGTGGGACCCTCACCCGTAGGCCGGGGATCAAACCGGCGCTGCAGAGGCTGCAGGCAGCTTCACAACCCAGTGCTCAACCACTGTACCACCAGGGGAGGCCCTATTCTCACAATGTTTTACCAAGTTCTTAGTACTTAGTGTGTAACCCTGCCTGTCCAAGATGATTAACTGTTCCTAAAGGTCCTCAGAGACAGTTATCTCTCTCCTCTCAGTATCCATGCCAGTGTTTAATAGCCTGTTGAAATTTTCTCCTACGGGTGATCTGTGACTTGAGGTGGGGGAGAAGGGCATCAGCAAGGGGTAAGGATGATCACCTTGATTGTTGCTGAAATGTGAGCTTCTGTGTCCAAACTGAGATAAAAAATGATCCTCACACCTTCTCAAGTAATTGTAGACTATTGAGTTACCAGAACCTGGATAGGAAAAAAAGAGCACATTCACCTTAATCATTTGTTGAAACCAAACTTTTTTGCCATTACATTGTGAATTCTATAGATGATCACATTTTAAAAATTATTCTTAAAGATAAAACATTAAATTGTAATCCATGAAATTTATTTCTGTTTATCCTACTTTTTTCCTCCTGCTTCCTTTTGTATCCTAAAACACCTTGAAGAAGAAAGTAAAACAATATATAACTGTCAGATCAGTAAAAGAGAAATGAACATGAGTTATTAAAAAATGGAAAGACATTAACGAGAAAACATAGAACAAGGATAGAAGACAAGGATTGCAAGGAGCTACATTTAATTTCTTTTCTCTCTGCTTTTGGTCTTCTTAACTTCTACATCTTTATGTTGAAGTTTTCTAAAATTTTGGTATATCATTGTACCCCTCCCCCGTTATGTGTTGGTAAATACAGGCTTATGGCCCATTATTCCTGCCTTCTCCCATACACAGTGTATGGAGTGGTGTCTCTGGGTGAATTTGCAGCCTAGAAATATGTTGTCTAACCCAGCATTGACCTATCTCAGGGACTGGCTTAATTTAAAAAAGATATCTATTTGTTAGGTTTTCCTGGCATGGAAAGCTGCAGGCTGCAGGGCTTTTTACCTTTGTGTCACAGAGGAGCTGCCCTCACCTGGTGTCAAAAATCTGTTGCAGACCTACAGAAGCAGCTCAGCCCCCACTGCTACCTCTGCCTAGACCTGGTTGCAACTTATTGCCATTAAAAAAGAAGTCCTGGGGGGCCTCCCAGGTGGCGCAGCGGTTGAGCGCTGGGTTGCGAAGCTGCCCGCGGCCTCTGCGGCGCCGGTTCGATCCCTGGCTGCTCCCCGGCCACCGGAGGAGGGTCCCACATGGCGCGCAGACCTCTCCTGCCGCCCGCTGCTCCCCTCAGCAGTGTACTTCGGTCCTTCTGCCTGCTCTGCTCCCTGCTCTGGCTCTGGTGAATTCTCTCGCCCTCCCGGCTTCTGACTGTACCCAGTGCATGTATAAACCAAACAAACAAACAAACAAATAGATAAATAAGACATGCCTCTAGAAAATTAAAAAAAAAATAAAATAAAATAAAAAAAAAAGAAGTCCTGGGACTAGATTCATTTTATGTGTTTACTATTGATCATCGTTCCTAAACATTTCATAATATTAGACACATGCTGTTTTTCTATTTCATAATTCTGTACATACTTCTTCAAATGAAGTAAGATAGAAATAAAATGGACTGTGAAAGAGAGGTTTTTGTCATCATAACTTTAAATCGAATGAAACGATATTATTAAATGCAAACACCTAGTTACATGTTCATAACGTAATTTTTTTTTACCGCAAATCTAATTTCTAAAGATAAAAATTGTAGTAGAGGCTGTTCTGGTTCTTAGGATTATCATTAGTTTGCTTTTAAAATTTTTACTTCCCCCAAACTATGAAATGCTGCCAAATAATTAGAAATGATAAATTTTCCTAACTAGTGCCTGTTTTACTTAGTACTTTTAACAATACTCTCAAAAGCTAGCAGGGGGGCGGTTTCTATCTTCCTTTCTTTCTTCCTGATTCATTCATTTACTCAAATGTTAGTGAATTCCTACTAAGTGCCTGTCCTGGTGTAGCTCTTATTCTTGTGAAGGGAGAGGAGAAGGCGGAAAATAAAGTAGAATACGGTGTGGGGTAGATGGTGATGAATGCTATGGAGAAAAGGAATGCTAGGGCAAGAAAGCAGTGGAGGAGTTAGTTGGGCAATTTTAAAAAATAGAGTGGTCAGCACAAGGGACTATGGTGATGGTACACAGGTGAATTGGTGGTGGGAATTTCATGGGGACTATACCTGAGATGATAAGGCATACATTGTATAAAAATGAAGAATGATGTTAAAAATATATAAAATTTAAAAAAAAAAAAAAGTGGTCAGGAAAAGCTGTTCATGAGAAAGTAGTATCGATTGTAGACCTGAAGGTAATGAAAATCAAAGTTACAATAGCACCTGGCAAGATAGGGCCCTAGCCAACACAAAGGCCCTGAGGCAGGTGTGTTCTTGGCACATTCACAAAACATCAAGGAGATCCAAGTAACTGGAGCAAAATGCCAGGGTGGGAAGCAGGAAAAAATTGAAATCAGCAGAGAGGGGCAGATGTAGGACAAGAGTTTGGGAGGGTAGTAAAGATCACAAGGGGCCTTTTGGGCCCTTTTCAGTGGGATTTGTAAGGTAATATAGAAATGCCATTTCTTAACTCTTTAATCAAAATAACAATAGCCCTCTAGTCCCTGTTTCTTCTTTGTTGCATACTCTTTATGTTCCCCAGCTTGCTCCCCAAGTCAACCTCTTTCTGTTCTTTTCCTCATCATTCCCTTTTTCCCAAGCCTAGAAATGACATGGGATTCAGTCTCTCATTCTCCTTGTCTTACTTGAGTCCCTGAAAATAAGGCTTGCCCTTCCTTTTTAAAGAATTTGCTACTAGTCACTAAAGAATAAAAGCTCAGGTAGTACAAAAATCAACTATCATAAGAGAAATTAGTAAGTTTATACAAAATGCATTCTTGCTTGTCCAGATAACAAGGTGGTTGTGTTGCTGGTGAGCTGAATTACTCTGTGGATTTCATTGAGCCTGCACAAATGAAAATTTGTGTTGGTTTCCAACATTTAACAATTGAGAAAGTTTTTGTTAAAATGCAGTTTCAAATTCTCTTTAAAAATTGGAGGTTCTTTTTATATGCAGTTCTGGAATAGGCAAAATGAGCTTTGTTAATAGAGGCCAGAACTGAGGTTGCTTGGTACAGGGGTGTGGCAAGGATTGACTGGGTAGGGGCATAATGGAAATTTATGGAGAATGAAAACATTCCACTTAGAGTAATCTATTCTGAAATGCAGAGTAACACTCATGCAGTTCACTGTATGTAGATTAAACCTCAATATAAAGAAAACTTAAAAATGGAAGCCAACACTCAATGTAAGCCGAATAATAGCTGATTACTTTGGGTTTGTCACGTGTTCTCCAGATTGCCAGAGACTCACTTGGTGCACTTCAACCTTTGTCATTACTTTTGTGGCCCCTTCTTGGTGGTATTGTTGTGTGATTCCTATAGCAAATTCTCAGTGGATTTGGTTTCAGCCATCAATAAGGAGCAAATCTGAAGTGAAGAAAATAGTGAAGCTCGTAACAAAAACAAACCTTATCAAGCAACTAACCTGCATTTCACTCTAAATTCTTGGTATTTTTCCACTCTAGGATTCTCAGAGATCTCGAACACAACTCTCATTTTTCTTCTCAGGTGCTCAGGTTCTGAGGTATTTACAGATTCCTCTGAGAAAAATAACAAAAAGTACCTGTCATTGCTACTAGCAGCACTTGAAACTTAATTGTATTAAGTTCATTACAGAAGTGATAGTGTCTGCTGTGGAAATCCTAGAAAATATAGATAAAGGAATAAAATTGCCCACAATTCTGCCATCCAGATATAACCTCTGTTTGCCATTTTGTATTAAATGTTTTCACATTTCACATTAAATGTTCACACATCTATATATTTTCACACCTACATATTTTATATTTAAAATGTGTTCAATTCAATTC